TTTGACACCGACAAGAACCCTAGCACAAAGAGAGGTCGGGACTTGCAGAATGCGCCACGCTTGCTTGGCCAGCAAGGCTTGCTTGAAGGTCTCATAATTCTGGAACCCCATGCCACCGTCTCTCTTACTTGCACACTTCTTTTGCCATGATATCCAATGGACCCTTTTTTCACCATTCATTGCACCCCACCAGAATTTAGAAGAGATTGAAGTCAAGTTCCGACACATCTTCTTCGAGAGGTGAAAACAACTCATGGTGTAAGTCAGAGTTGCTTGCAACACCGATTTGACAAGAACTTCTCTTGCTGCTTTGGACAGACCTTACCCTTTCCATCCACACACCTTACCTTTTGAGCACTCGGTGACATGCTTGAAAGTGCCATCCTTCGATCTTCCAACTAGTGTTGGGAGACCCAAATACCGCTCACTAAGTGCTTCTGACTATATGCCCACCACTTGTTTCATCTGATCCTTCATGCTGTCTTGACTCCCCCTTCCAAAGAAGATGGAAGATTTCTGCAGATTTACTTTTTGACCGGACGCTTTTTCATACATGGTGAGGATCTGTTTTAGGGTCTCCATATTTTCCTTAGCTCCTTCTAGGAAAACTATGTTGTCATCAGCAAACAGGAGATGAGTTACATGGGGGCAGTGCTCACAAACTTCACTCCCGTTAGTTGTTTATCATTCTGAGCCCGTTTGAGGAGTGCTGAAAACCCCTCAACGCAGAAAAGGAACAAGTAAGGTGACAAAGGGTCACCCTGTCTTAGACCGCGAGAGGGAAAAAACTCCTCGAGAGCCCGCCATTAAGTTTAACTGAGAAGCTGGCCGAGGTGACACACCTCATAATCATGCAAACCCACTGGGGAGCAAAGCTGAATTTTGACATAACTTGCTCTAGGAAAATCCACTCCACCCTATCATACGCCTTCATCATGTCCAATTTGATCGCACATAAACTCTTCTTCCTCTTCCTCTTCCTAATACCATGCACACACTCATATGCAACCAGCACATTGTCAGTAATCAACCGCCCTGGCACAGAGGCGCTCTGTTCTTTAGAGATTAGGAGAGGAAGTATGCTCTTCAATCAGTTCGCCAAAACCTTTGTAGCTATCTTGTACAGCACGTTACATAAACTAATAGGGCGAAACTGCGAAAGAACCTCCGGTGAGTTCACTTTCGGGATCATGACAATAAACGTGTCGTTGAATTTAGCGGGGGTCATGGCACCATTAAGAAAGTCACGTACTGCTAAGCACATGTCGCCCTTTACCCGAGACCAGTGTCTTTGATAGAAGAGGGCAGGGAGGCCGTCCGAGCCCGACGCCTTCGTCGGCCCCATTTGAAATAGTGCAGTTTCAGTCTCCTCATCAGAGATAGTAGCTGTAAGTTTGCTGTTCATGTCATCCGAAACTAAAGCCTCAATGTTCTCTAACAGTGCATGTGCATCGACCGAGCCCTCCGATGTAAACAAGGACTCATAGAATTTGGCAGCCATTTCCCTCATCTCTTCATTTACCATACATCTCGTACCATCATCTCTCCGCAGCGCCCATATTGTGTTCTTTCTCTTGCGGTGTGAGGCTGTTTTGGAAGTACTTGGTGTTCAGATCGCCGGCCCGCAGTTAGTCCACCCTCGATCACTGTTTATACAACACTTCCTCCCTCGCATATATCTCTCTGAGCAGCTCCTCGATGTCCCGGACCTCCAGTGAGGACCCGGAAGCATCCGCTCTACTCTGTGCGTCCGCAAGCTGTGTTTTGAGTTTTGTGATTTGACTCCGGATGGACACGAACACCTCTCTAGCCCACCGCTGCATGCTACCAATCATCTTACTTAGTTTTTCCCAAACCACCGCCACTGTTTTTTCATCCGTCCCAGCATCTGACCATGCTTGAGCAATCATGGCACCATACTGTGCATGCCTAGTCCATGCCTCCTCAAACTAAAAAGGACGCTGACCCCTCTCTTTCTCACGTGGAGCTGTCTCCAGCGCTCGAATAAGGATCACTTGATGGTCTGATTCCTCCGTCACAAGATGTTCAACATGAGTTTCGGGGAAAAGGTTCAGAAAATTATCCGTGCACGCTGCCCGATCAAGTCTGACCTTGATGTTCTCTGCTCCATCCCGCTTATTGTCCCATGTATATGGGTACCCCGAGAAGCCCAGGTCCGCAAGCCCGTGGTCAGCTAAGTAGTCCCTAAAGTCCTCCATTTGAGCAAATGGTCTCGGGTTACCACCAAGTTAATCTGTTTGGAAGACTGCCTCATTGTAGTCTCCAACACAAATCCATGGGAGATCATCTTGTACCCTCAGAAAGCGAATTGCATCCCATGACTTCTTCCGCAAATCCTTCTTGGGCTCCCCATAGAAACCAGTGAATCTATAGGTCTTGCCCTCCCGCACCATCTCAGTATAATGAAATATTGGCACCATGGCCTCACCTTCACCTGCACGTTTTCTCTCCACCAAAGTGCAAGTCCACCACTCAAGCCTTGACAATCTACCGCCACACCACTTTTGAAGCCCAAACTCCACTTCGGTTTCTCCATTGCTCTCGCCTTCTTCTTTGTTTCCGAAAGGAAAACCACCGCTGGGTTGTATGACCGTATCAGGTCCCTTAGTTCGCCAACTATCGAGTCCAACACCAATCCTCGATAGTTCTAGGACAAGAAATTCATGGCGACCGGCGGCCCCCCGCATCGGGGTCCGCCGATGAAACTTTGTTCTCAGAAATGCGATCAAAAACCGTAGATGTCTTCCTCCTTGTGTCTCTCATAAACACTTCATTTGGCATCTGTTTATCCAGATCATTCTTTGCCACCCAGTACTGCCTAGGCCCTCTCTTTCTCCCTTCATTCTCAAGTCTAGAGTAACGGTCAGCATGGGAGACCGGTCTATATGCCTGCCTGGGCATTCTGACGAAATGCCCTCTCTTCCTTCCTTCTCTGTCTCCATATCGCTCCCTGCCTGCCTCCACCTCATACCTTCTCCTATCTCCTCCCCTAGAACTCATGTTGTAGCCATCCTCCTTACCTTTCCAGCCCTCCTGTCTGTCACAGGAACAACTAGCATACCCTTGTTGCTCATGTAATTTATACCTTAGCTCCCGTTCCCGCTTCTGCTCTAAATCATGTCGCAGATCATGCTCTTTCGTCCTGCTGCCTTTCTCCTTCAATGGGCTGGTGACTTCACATCTTTCCTCCTTCCTAGCACCGCCAGTGCGTGTGCCCTCTGACTTAGCAAAATCATCCTGAAGATTGCGTTTTACGGGAACACCATTATTGCCTTTGTTTGTCTGGCGCCTAGGGTCGTTGTCACCCGTACGCTTACTTCCCCAGCTGTTACTGCTCCCCGCAGGTCCGGTTGAACGTCCTTTTGCCCCACCGTGTCTCCCTGGAGATGCACGTAGCCATCCTCCCCACTATGAGCTCTGGTCCAGAGGAGGGATGCAAACGCCATCAGCATGAACCATCCTCCCGCACTCAAAGCAAAAGTGTGGTACCTTCTCGTAGTAAAAATCAAACCACGTGCCCACTATTTTTAGGTAGAAACCCCTCACCAAAGGTTCAAACACATTATTTTTTTCCTGAACACTGAGAAACTGTCCCCTTGCTAGTCCATCTTTATTAGTGTCTACGTGAACAATTTCGCCAAGCCAGTTCCCGAGAGCTCTACCAAACGATTCAGCCCTTTTATCAGGTGGTAAATCATCCACACGTACCCAAATATCAGTCCTGTCGAAGACCATCTCCGACGGCCTAGATTTGCCTTCATGTTCCTTCAAGATCAAAACACTGAAATCATATTGCCATGGGCCATTATTCATCGCATGCTTCCAGTCTCCTTCGCTTCCGAAGTGAACCTCAAACGTTTGGCCACTTTATGCAGGCCCCAAGCACGTTGCATCGCACGTTCCACATCACTCATAATCATCGGCCTCGCCGAGCACACCTTACCCACCTCTGACCACCGAAAATTCCTTTGTAACGCCTTCTCCGGCTCTTCAAACACAAACCCTTCCGCTTCCTTATCCATCAGTACCATGCCCCCTTGTCTCACCGAAAGACTCGACGTGGGATCCTGGATTTTGCTTACAACCGGGGACTTTGAAGAAGCCCGGCTAGCCGTTTCATCGGTCCTGCGCATCGGCGTAACCACTGCATCCCCCGCCGCAGTCGTGGTATTCTTCCTGCTCGAGGCCAGTGCCTCTTGCAAGCCTTTCCCGTTCCTCTGGTTTGCCGTCCTCGAGCCGGATGCATGGCTGGATTGGCTAGCTGCTTTCTTCTGGTTCGTCTCGTCGATCTTCTCCGGTATACTGCTTTGTTTCCTCGGTGTCGCCGCCGCCGCCGCCGCCGATGAAGATCCCATCTGCCCGAAACCCTAGTCGCCTTTCCTCCCGCCTCCTCCGCCCTCCGCTCCACCTCCAGCGAAGACGGGAAATCGCCGGTCGGTTTAGAGGGCTGCGACCGTCGCCCCCCTCGTGGACCACCGTATCCTCTCTCACCCCCACAGCTCAAACCCTAACCCTAGCGTCGGCGGACAATCGCCATGCAATCGCCTCCGTCGCCCTTAGAGTTTTCCTGTGTCGTGGACCCCCGCGCGTTTCACCATTCGGAATATGGAATTGGTTTGGTCTTCTGTTAGTACTACGATATCGGTTGAGGGCGGCACGTTGCCCGCCGGCCGTAGTACCGGTCAAAAGAAGGGGGCATCCAATGCAGCTGAGCTGATTCAGAACCACTTATACCACGTCAACGAAATCGGCACTGGAATTCTTATTCGTCGGTGGATTGTTCTAAACTAGTAACTCATCTGCAGCAACCCATTACTTGTTTATGAAGTTAAATCGTGTTCAACACGGAGCGTGCGGGAACGCAATAACAGCAATAATGCATTTTCTAATCGCTGTCATCTTGTCTTATTTGTCAAACCTCTCTCACCACAATTTCCTCTGCCTGCGGTCAGAGGCCCGTAGCCAAGCCAGGGGCGGCAATGGAGAGCAACAGCAGCACCTGCGCCATCTGCAATGGCGACATGCGCCGTGGCGGCGGTGGCGGCAGCGGCTTCACGGCCGACTGCTCCCACCAGTTCCACTACCGCTGCGTCTCCGGGAGCCTCGCCAGCAGCCGCCAAGCCTGCCCGCTGTGCAGCGCGCGGTGCCGCGACCTGCCGTCCTTCCGCTCCTCCAAGAGCTCCACGCCGTCACAGCCGCCGCTCGCGTCGCGCGCGCCGGCACAACCGTTCTTCCGGCCCATGGAGCCACGCGTCTTCGACGACGACGACCCGGTGGTCCGGGCGCCTCGGCCTCTCGGCGACCGGCACCATGGTACCGCGAGTGCGACGTCCAGCGGGTCTTTAGCGGTGGCGCTCAGCACGCACTGCGAGTACTCGTCCCTGGCACGGGACGCGTCACACGAGAACTTCGCCGTGCTCGTGCACGCCAGGGCTCCGGGAACTGGTGGCGCCGCCACCGGCGGGGCGCCGCCGCGCGCGAGGGCGCCGATCGACCTGGTGACCGTGCTCGACGTGAGCGGCAGCATGGTAGGGAGCAAGCTGGCGCTGCTGAAGCAGGCCATGGGTTTCGTCGTCGACAGCCTCGGCCCCGCGGACCGCCTCTGCGTCGTGTCCTTCTCGTCCGGCGCCAGCCGCCTGATGCGGCTCGCGCGCATGTCGGAATCGGACGGCGGGAAGGACCTGGCGAAGCGCGCCGTGCAGTCCCTCGCGGCGGGCGGCGGCACCAACATCGGGGCCGCCCTTCTCAAGGCCGCCAAGGTGCTGGACGACCGCCTCCGCAGGAACGCCGTCGCGAGCGTGATACTTCTGTCGGACGGGCAGGACACGTACACCGTGCCCAAGCGCGGCCGTGACGCCAACTACGACGCGCTCGTGCCGCCTTCCTTCATGTACACCGGCGCCGGCGACCGGTCCGCGCCTGTCCACACGTTTGGGTTCGGCACCGACCACGACGCAGCGGCGATGCACACCATCGCCGAGGCCACGGGCGGCACGTTCTCGTTCATCGAGAACGAGGCGGACATCCAGGACGCATTCGCGCAATGCATCGGGGGGCTCCTCTCCGTCGCCGTGCAGGAATTGCGCGTTGACATCGCGTGCCCGCAATCGGGGGTGCGCGTCCGGTCGGTCAACTCTGGCCACTACAGGAGCCACATCAACGTGGACGGCCGCTCCGCCTCCATCGACGTCGGCGAGCTGTACGCCGACGAGGAGAGGCGCTTCTTGCTGCTCATGGACGTGCCGAGGGCCCGATCCACCACGGATGTCACCCACGTGATGCAAGTCAGCTGCGCTTACCGAGACATGATGACTGGACGGCCAACGAACGTGGACGGCGAGGACGCGGTGGTGCTGAGGCCCTCGCGGGCGTTGAGCCTGGAGCGCTCCGCGGAGGTCGAGCGGGAGCGCGTCCGGTTGGCGGCGACGGACGGCATCGCTGCGGCTCGTGCGGCGGCAGAGCGGGGCGCTCACGAGGAGGCGGCCGAGATACTCCAGAGCGGGCAGCGAGCCGTGGCGCGCTCGGCGGCCGCACGAGCGGGGGACTCGATGTGCGTAGAGTTGTCCCGGGATCTGCAGGAGATGAGCGCCCGCGTGGCGGACCGGCGGCGGTACGAGCTGTCCGGGCGTGCGTACATGCTGGCAGGGCTGAGCTCGCACGCGCAGCAGCGCGCGACGTCGCGGCAGATGTCTGGCGCCAGCGAGACGACGCGCCGCAGGGCAGAGGCGGCCCTTGGCACGACGGTAATATCCACGACGGGCGCCACGGCGTCGTACTCGTACGTGACACCGGCGATGATGGACATGCTGGACCGATCGCGGAGATCGCGGGAAATGACGGCGCTGTCGCAGCAGAGGAGTAAGGAGCGGCGAAGGAGCGCACACTACTGAACCCACTGAGGTAGAGGATCAGGATTGACCAGAGAGATATGGTTTTCAAGTTTGTATAAGAGTCGATTACAACACTGTTGCTTAAACTTGTCGAGAAAAGTCACTTTAGTGCCAGAACTTGCGGTATACATTGAACTGGTGCCACAACTTGGCTCGTCGTGCAAATACAGTGCAAAACTCGTTTGTATACTCATGCGGCGCTAATGAGGCGTGACAGCGTGGCGTGTGGGCCCATTGTCAGTGCCCGAGCGGTGTAGAAGAGGCATATGGCGTGTTCTTTTTTCAAAAACTAGCCTCGAATTTTATTTTATTTTGCACAAAAAAACGTCGCGGGACCGACTTGTCCGTCAAAGGCACACTCTCTGTGCCAGCCAACCGATGTGCGCAGGTAGCCAACCCACCAGGATAACGATTCAGGATACGCAGTTATTATATCGTTTTAAATGATCCAACATCCACCAAGATAACCTCTACAAAAGAAAAAGAAACCCGCAACACAACCTATGTTTCAAAAGTGGCAAAAGTGAAGGATGACGCTGAGCACTAGATTTTGTCAATATCTGACGGTTCGCGAGGCGGCGGATCTTTTTAAATGATCCGACACCTGACTCGTAGCACGTCCCTTGTCTTTCTTTCATTTTTTGAAAAAATTGTTAAAAAAATGTGAATCCCATGTATATATAATAGACTTACTTTAATATTTCTATTTAATATGCAAACACTTTTTAAAATTACACAAACATTTGTATAGTTCATAATTTAATTTATGGATTTTTTAAATCAATAGGTTGGCATTTTTGGAATTACAGGAGCATCTTTTTATGTAATTTATTTTATTTATATGTATATTATTTATAATTAGGATTTACATATTTTTCACAAATTTCTTAAAAAACACAGTATGTTTTAGCCCATGAGCGTGGTGTGTTAGTGACAAAAAGGATAAAATTTCCAATAGGGATCAAATGAATGTGGATGCAGTGTCCGGCTCATCTTATTTTTTGCCCCAAGTCACAGGTTTGAACCCCCACAGCAGCATTTTTTTGACTTAGTACAATTCTTAATTTGTGTTGTTTAAGGAAAAGTTATAAAAACCGTGTATCCACCTAGGTTGTCAAATGGTGTAGCACTAGGGTTGCTAACCGAGCGAGTGGGATGACTCAAATCACCGGTTCGAATCTTCGTTGGTGCAATTTTTCATTTTAATATAAAACTTGGGGTGCGGGTGGATCCCACACCTGTTAGGGTCTTTTTGTGCGAAAAAATAAAAGTCGAGGGTGTCTTTGAAAAAAAAACACGCACAAGCCTGGTCTACACCGCCCGGTCACTGATAATGAGCCTCCATGCCACGCTGTCACGCCTCGTCAGCGCCGCATGCGTCTTCAAACGAGTTTTGCACCGTATTTGCACGCCGAGCCAAGTTGTGGCACTAGTTCAATGTATGCCGCAAGTTCTGACACTAAAGTGAGTATTCTTGCCAAGTTTAAGCACCGATGGTGTAATTGACTCTTTGTATAATCTGTACCGAGCTTCTCTCTACACTCCACAAACTTGGCTTGTATGTGATTCTTTGGTCCACAAATTTTTAAAATGGTACTCCCTCCGTTCTGAAAATAAGTTACAACATTATACTAAAATTAATATAAAATTAAGACACTACGGACGAAGTATATAATAATAAGATATACAAATTTTACACGATGACACGAAATATTCACAGCACCTGCAGGTTGCCGTATCGCGAAGGTTTGAACACGCTTTGTTGCGTCGTTGGTGTAATTGAATTTTCAAAAAAAATGACTCCCTTTATTTAAAAATATTAGGTGCATTAACTTTTTAAAAAGTCAAAACGCTTTAAGTTTCATCAAACTTCTAGAGAAATATATCAATATTCATAATATCAAATCAGTGTCATTAGATTTATCATGAAATGAATTTGGTCAAAGTTAAAGAAATTTGTATTTTCAAAAACTAATACACCTTATATTTTGAAATCGTTGAAGATTTAGTCTGGCGAGTTGGGGAGTTGACGGAGTGTATTTTATTTTTATTTATAATGTGGTGTTTTGGTGGCCCTTTCACGGTGTATTCTGTGTTATCTGCTAATCAACGCATACGTATGTGGGAAACTTTTTACATCAGTGACTGCATGTACTATATTGGTGCTACAATATCACATGTTTGCTCTTCCCTTTTCTAGGTGGCGAGGTGGTGCGTGAGATTGATATAGTTTTATAGGCCGTTTGATGTCGATTGACTTGAAAAAAATCATTGACCCGATCAAAATATGAACCAATATCTTAATCAAATGGGAGAGCTCCAAAATTAGAGATCATAGTGATTTAAAAGAATAAAATGAGAGAGCTCCTTAAAAAATTGTTGACCTGGTCAAAATTGAGTGACTCGATTCAAAATTGGAGACCTCAATTGATTGTGAGGCCCCTAAAATTAGGGAGCATAGTATATTAGATATACGATCCCTGCACAACGTTGAATGGGTTCTCTCCTTTTTTAGAGTTGTCCTCGTTTTTCTCCTCCATAACCACATTCCACATACCTCAATACCTAAAATCCATGCACGCCCATCATACAACACAAATTCATCATAAATTCAATGATAGAAAGTAAATGACAATTTATTACATACCGAAATAAAATTCAAGAGCTCATACATAGATAGGAGATACATGAATGAATCAGTGTCTTGAGTTGTTGCGGTCATTGATCATCTTCTTCATGCGGACCAACCACTTCTTGTCTTCATCATCAAAGAGGTTGATGCCCTGGAACATAATCGTCAACTCCTCCGCCTCTCTCCCGAGTCTCAACTTCTCTCTCTCAAGCTCAAGTCCTTGCATTCCCGCCCTTTGTTCAAACTCCCATTTTGCAACATTCCCTTGCCTCTCCAATTATATTTTGTTCTTCTCGATGGTCAACCTCTCCTGGTCGAACTCCATCTTCTCCCTTTTCACACCTATGGAACGTCTTGTACCTTTCCTCCTTCTTCACCTCCTTGGCGAAAAAATGCCCATCCAAGTGACGAACATTTTGCTTGCAAGGAACCACCATGCCGGGGACCCCTCTAATTATGGAGAGGCATCATCCGTGGCCATGGTGGCAGGCGGGGTGTCGGTGATGACATTAGCGACGACGGACCAGGATGATGAGCAAGGGAGGAGGTGGGCGGCTGCCTGGAGGAGGGAATGGAGGACAAAGGTGGGAGGAGTTGGTTCGAAGTGGATGACTAGTCAATTTTGAGAGGATTTGGTATGGGTCCGTCTTGTCGGAGCCGACGTGGCGGGCGCGTTCGGGCGTTGCCATCTGCCCCAGATATCGGCTGTGTATGGGGAGTGCTAGTCAATCCGGGCGTCTGGGACATATTTTTTTATGTCCGGTTGGGTAGCAATTTTGCGTCCGGGTAGTGATTGGGCAGGCCGTTCGGGCATTTGGGGCGGATATGGAACGTCCGGTTGTAGATGTTGTCATAGCGTGTTGTTCGACTGCCATGAAGGACC